ACTAATATTGAACCTATAATTTACTACTCCGAAATATTTGACTTAAAAAATTTCAAGAATGGCATATTTATAATTTTAAAATTACTTTTAAAATTCAGTCATGATCCAAAAAGCAAAAAAGAGTTCTTTTAAAATTTAAAAATAAGTTTTCAAGGGATTTTGATAGGAAAACCATTTTGGAATATATAAAGGTAATAACTATAATCATCATCATCATCCAAACCTTATCCTAACCATTTGGGTTCAGCTATACGAATTATGTTTCGTCATTCCGTTCTATCAAGGCTCAAAACTTCAGTAGGACTATAAGTCACTATATTTTTGTTCATTACTTCTATCCATGCTCTTTGGGGCTTTCCTCTTGCCCTTCTAGAACCTTCCACTCGAACCATATCGTCCTTCCTCACTATTGCTATATATGATCAGATCACCTAAGTACTTTTCCTCTTTTTATTACTTATTGGAGCTACCTTTAAGTTTCCTCAAATATATTCACTTCAAATTCTATCTTTTCTTGTCTTACCATATATCCATCTCGACATCCTCATCTTAACTATACTCATTCTATAGAAATGTTATTTATTATCCTCTCAACATTTTGTGCCATAGAATGGTATATGACAATTATATAAGACTCCAAAAGCACATCTCCATTTTGTCCACCCAACTCTAATTCTATAAGCAATATCTTCCTCAATCTCTTATTTTTGATACATTATCGATCCAAGATATCGAACATAATATAGTAGTTGGCCATGAAATTTTAACTAATTCATCATTTTTTCTCCTTTTTTTTAATTTTTTTTTTGTGCATTCCATATATCTTGCTTTAGTCCGACTAACTTTAAAACCTTTAAATTCTAAAGTATCATCTAAAGTTCTAATTTTGCATTTACATTGTCTCAATTCTCATCAATATAAACTATGTTATTCGCAAATATCATTATACAAGGATCTCATCCTGTAGATGTCAAGTTAACACGTCTATAACCAAAGAACATAGATATGCACTTAACACAAACCCTTGATATAGGCGTATAGTCACTGAAAACTAATTTGCTTTCTAGTAGTTGTCTTCATATTAGTTAGCTCTGTCGAATATATCCCTAACCATGTCAATATATCATCTTGAGACTCCTTTCTTTTCTAGAACCTA